AGCCCAACGTGATAACAACATTTGCTTTCTCCGACCTCTGTCCGATCTGTCGCGCTCGCTCTCCCTCGCTATTAATGCGCGAGCCATTGGCAACTCTTTTTCGCCTTGCCCTGTGAAAATGCTTACTTCCGTCTGCGATTTCAGTGGAAAAAAGTGGTAAGCAGGAAGTAAAAATAGACTTAAACTAACAAGTAAGTAAGAGCTGTATTCGGACGGAAGTGAATTTTTTGTTTAAAATTTCTTTATTCAAATTATTCTTTCATCGAATTCGTTCGAGGTTGGTTAGCTGATGCTTTCGCTATTATTTTTGATCTGGTACTAGGTTAGCTTAGGTTGAACTGGATGCTGGACAATCACTGAGGATCCGCCCGCTAGTCAAACCAGTGTTTGGAGTTAGGAAAGCCATGCAGAGCATTCGCAAAGGAATATTTTTTCTCCTCTCAACAACTCCTGCAGAAGTCATTTGATGTACACGTAGCCTCTCGGTAGGTTTATCTAAAATAAGATACCCCTCAAGAAGACACATCAACATGGGTAATCCTTCGCCGTTTAGGAAGATAAGCCCTTTCTACCTTCTTTTGTTCCGGGTTGGTCGCATTGCAATTATTGAGAGTTTCCTGTTTGGGGGTTCGCAAAGACGATGTATGGCAGCAGACTCAGTTTCTTCTACGATGGCGAAAGAGGAAGGGAAGTGTTCTTCTTTCTTTGGAAGCTCTTCGTACATATGATTTTCGTATCCATTCCTTTGAGTTTTGAGTCAACCTTACTTTCTCATCCAAAATGAGTATTAAATACTTTGCAGAATTAGTGTTATGCAGCCTCGTTAACTGGATTAAGTAACGTTGGAGTTTTCATTTTGAGGGAACTTGTCAGTTACAACAATCGCCAGATCGCCTGAAAATTCTATGACTCTACATCTCTCCCTTTTTTCCATGTCCCTCAGCAATTGGTTTATCGCCAGGACCCAAAGAAGATGTGAAAGGACACCAACTTATGGGATTTCTCTGTTCACATGCCAAAACGCAGATAATGCTGCGAGCTCAGACCGCACGGCTCTGCATCCAATAATATTGCTGACTTCAATGTCCACGAAATCCATTACGTTATATCTCTGTTGGTGTCTCCTTACACTGTTGATCAACGACTGCTGTAGCTCGATAAGAGCAAGTTCCTGTCACTCACCGGGCGTTAAGCATTAGGATCCCGTTAAGTAGATAGTAGACAAGATAAAGGTCGCTTTAATCGAGAATATATAATACTAGAGGTAGGGTTAGGGGCTTGAATCGTAGCTAAATCAGCCTCTACGGGGAATGCCCTCCCTCATTTAAACCCATCAGTCTCTCTTTTAATTTGAAAAGAAAATTAAATTCATTTTTCAAAATGTTGTCGACTGTGGGCAGGAAATGTCAAAGCTCTCCGAGTGTATTTGTTACATGAAATAAAAACCCATCAGCTGTTCGGAGTCGGCTTAGTCTAATCAGTCCATTTGTTAGAAAAACATCAAGACACATACCACAAAGTGGATGTTACAAAGCGCCAATTATATATATTTGTATGAGATTACCGGAAATATGTTAGAAAGAGGTAAGATAATATTAAGTTGGGCTCGACTTGTGGTTGCCACCTTTATGCGGGGTAGAAAAGAGAGGATGCTTAAGAATAGTATTAGGAATGATGTTAAATTGTGCTTGTGAATGAATTTATCGATTCCAATGGCTTATGAAGGTGTTCGATGGTGAACTCCGTGGAAAAATTGTACATGATGCCGGATGACGATGATCTCTCTTTTGACCTTGTGAATGTATTATATTGGGCAGAGTTCGAGTGGTTGGAGACGATGCGGACAGACCAATCCGTTGTTGAATCGTGATATGGTTGAGCGCTGTGGCTTTTAAAACGGCGTAGAGGGAGATGCTTCAAATGTGTTTATTAGACAAGTCATTCCTGTTATTGGCAAACAACTAGGCACACGTGTACATTAATGCAACCTCTCCAATATGTGCCTTGAACCCTGAGTTTAGCTTCAAATAGACACTTACATTTACCTGAATTAAGACATTGAAAGGCAAAGGCTGTTTCTCCAAATTCGGGTGCGCGACTTGCTGTTCTTCAAACAAAAGGAAGGCCCTGTAGTTTGTTCTAAGCAACCTCAAAACGATCGATGGATTTTTATGAGAAGCATTTTTTATTTCATGTCGAAAATATACCTTGGGTAGCTCGAAATATTCTGCCGTAGGGCGAACGCAATTAGAAAAAAAATGCTCCGTAACTTTGGATGCTGGTCGGTAGGTGTTAACTGATCTGGGGTCTTTTTCTTGTTAAATTCCTAGGCTTTCATTGAGCTAGCTTATACAGCGTCTGCAATACCCATTAAGCGGGTAAGTTTAACCACTTCGAAAGGATTCATGTAGCACCTCTTCTTTAGGGACGCTTATCATATTAGTATTCCTCATGCAAGTGGAAGTCAATATTTTCCCTCTAGTTAAATTGGTATCCTAGTGTAATTATAGTTGCTTTAAAATTATGAAATCCCGAGTTGATAACTCAGTTGGGTATGAAAAGCATAAAATGTTTTTCACACTTTTGTAAAATAAACTTGTAACTGCTTCCAAGGGAAACGGAAATGCTTCTGTTTGTTTATTTTTCTTTTCGTTGCCAACGCTGATTGGCCCTTCCAGTCACTTGTGCGCTGCCAGCTTGAGTAAAAGTATGTGCGAAACGTTAGACTTTCTTCTATTAGCCACTTGTGAATTCGCGTGTTTTGCGGAAATTCTGAGAAATAAAATATTTTTGAGGTACTTTGGTTGCTCCCCTTTGATTTCGGTATCCAAATTGGTCATAAATTGCCTCAAGTAAGTGAGTTTGCATAGAAAACTCAAAGGTGATTACTATTCTCGCATTACTTCCGCGCTGCAGTTGTTGGCGAATTATAGTAGTTTAGCAGTCGTAAATTGCAATTGGACGCTTAAAAGTGTTTGTGGCGGCTCGAGTTTGCTTTCTCAATAATTTCCTCTCATACCTGGTAGTATGCAGCAGCTTTTTCTTTGGAAATATTTCTTAAGTCTGAGAAATTTATAGTTTGTACGTGTGCAAATTGCGAAAGCGTTTTGGTTTCAATTTATGTGTGTAAGTTGGGATTCAATAATTTCATAGAGTGACAGATATAATTCTTTCTGCCATTAACTTTATAAGTGATTTTTTCTTGGAATGAAACTGAAAAAAGGAAATAATTTTAAAAGAAATTTATGTGTTTTTGGCTCTTCATTTATTATTTTAAAAATTGTTTTATTTATGTGTATTTATGTGTTATATTACTCCCGCTATAAAATTACTAAGCCATATGAGAATTGTTATAAGTTTCTAAATCTTGATTTGTATAGCATAATTTTAGGCGCATTGCGTCGCAAGATAGATGTGATATTTCATTGAGAGTTTTTTAACATGTAACAATTAACCAATGCATTAAGGTCCTAATTGGAAGTACTTTGGATACTTCTAACGGACTGGAGGTCGTTCCGCTTTCTCTGCTGCATTGCCAACTGATTCTGCATGTAACACTTTCAAAGCTGGAATATTGGTAGTCGACATTATCTACTATAGAAATCTACTTTAACATTTATAACTTATTATTTTCAATTTCTCAGTTTTTATGTTGCAGAATTTTCAATTTCAAATATTTTAATTTTCTGAATTATAATAGTTTTCATTTTCAAACACACAAGAAGTTATAAATAAATTTTATTAAAAAACAAAAGTTAAGCTTCGTTTACATACAATAGTATATAAAAATTAATTTATGTATCTGCATCTACTCTTCTTTGCTACTTTACATTACTGTGAGTGATGAACGGCTTTTTGCGTTTTACTTTTGTTCCACGAGAGAGCACTTTACTTTCCAACTGCATATATGGCTCAAATCAGCATCTGTTTGCCAAACCGCTCATCGCTTGCGGCAGTGATGCGAGTTTATATTAATAAGTCCAGGTGTGTGCTGTGAGAGCAAATACGCGAAAGCGTCTGCTCCATCGTCATCAGTTGAGAATGCAGGTTTGCCGTCACAAGGCATTGCATGTTCACTACCATTCAGTAGGACGGAGAGTGCTTTCTCTAAAAACTCAACCAGTCAACAGATTACCGCCTAGTGGCCGACATGAGCATCACCCTTGTTGGTCAGCTTATCAAGCTTTTAATATGATACTTGCGCATTTCTGACTCTCCGCCTTTCAACGTTTCACCTTCGGCTCTCCTCTCTCCCACGGCACTCTTCATGGTACCAGTTGAATTTTCGAACCGCAATTACATGGAAATTTTTTTTTTATTAAAATTAATCTTCTATTATTTTTTATTTTATTAGTGTACGATCCCGGTGCCCATGAAGGTTCAAGTTTAAGAGAAAATTATGTACCGAGCACACAGCTTCACCTCTAGACCAGTACTCCACGTTGTTATAATAAATGTACTTAATACATATTTTTTTTTCAGGGATTTAAAAGTACACCGCATCAAACTTTTTTGACAATCCAAACATGTTTTGTTTTAGCTTAAAGTCAGGCATTTATGAAAATCAACTGTTTAGCAACTCCATAAGGCGTTCAAATTGTTCAAACCTGTGACAAAAAAATGTTTCATAGAAATGATTTTAACGCGTCCAACTCAAGCAACCGCGTAATTAATAACCCGATATTTATGTGCATATACTTGACTTGAAAAACATTTTCGAAACCGTGAAATGGATAACCGCGAAACTAATTTCCCTTATTTTTGTTCAAATATTTGACTTAAAGATTATTTTCGCTATCGCAAAATGAATAGCCCGTTTTTTTTGTTCAAATATTTTACATACAAAACAGTTTTATTCTAAATTTTCCCCATTTGCTCACCATATAAAACTCTCCCTAATTTCTCTCTCTCTCTCTCATTCTCTCTCTTTACAGCTACCGGAATGTTTAATTGAATTTCAATGCTCACTTAACTACTTCATCACAATAACAAACAAACAAAAAACAAGAATTAAGATCAAAATTATTGAAACAAATACGTAAACACACATCCAACACAACAACAAAAAGATGCGATCTTCGCCTTACGCCTATCACCTTGGCAACGATGCCAGCGAAGATGATGGTGACAGCGACGCACTCGACTATCAAATGGCGGCGGCAATTAGTTCCAACCATCGCCAACATCCACACCATCAAATGGAATTGAAATTGAAAGAAATACCCGAGAAATATTTGATGGTGATTGCGCACTTCCTGGCGGGCGACTTCAATGACACCGATGCGATGGACAGCGTCAACGGCCCCATACTGAAGGCGAGCATTAAATCTGTCTATTGGCTTTTCCTCATTCAATACGCGATGTTGGCACTCGCCGGCATCGCTATGAATGTCAGCATAATAGCTTATGCTATGTACCATCGTCTCTACAAGGATGTGACGCACGCGTTCATTGTTAATTTGGCGTTGTGCCATTTGGTGCAGTGTGCTCTGGTGTTGCCCATAACGCTGATGGTGATGCTCATACAGAATTGGATTTATGGGCAATTTTTGTGCTTCTTTTTGCCGATGTTACAGGTGAGTCCTCATGAGAAATAAGATTGAAGTTGCATGCTAAACGTAAAGAATCAGAGAATTTTAAAAAGTGTTTTGAGAGGCAAAAGTTTTCCGACTGGGATCAGAAAGCCTATTGTAAAGGCTGGGTTCGGTTAAACTGGTTAAGTTTCTATTGAGAGATAATGCTCCCTTAGTAGTTCTACCGGAGTCCAGCTTCATAGTCCATCATAGTTCCAGTCGTCATAAAAAATTACTTGTAAACTAGTGCGCTTTAGACTAAATGCCAGCTGAGAAAGCTTGAGAAACTGTCAAAGACATCTAAACAACACCTTAAATGAATTAGTTGCTGTACCCTCACATTTCGGGTCTTATCTTCCTGTTTTTGATTTACACCTCGCCTTCAAAGAGTACGTACAACTCTTCAAAGAAAGAGCTTTCATCGGTATTAAGCCTCCTTACTATGATATGGTCTTACCAAGGTAATTACAACCGAATTCCAAGATATGTGGAGGCTCATTGGTATCCAGGTATGTTGAAATAGGTACCCAGAGAGAGGAGGCCTCTCGCGCCTTTTATACCTGAAAAGTAGTGGCATAACAAAAATCGTCCACAAGCGACTGGTTAACTCCACCGAGTTTTGGGTGATCTTTTTGAGATTGCCTTTTATGTTATTAGCGATAGGGGCAGAGATTACGGTCTGGATTTGAATCCCACATAGACCTGATTGATACTCTATACAAAAGGTACAAACCTTCAGCTGAAAAATCTTTTCTATTTAAGGGCGTCTAAATCACTCTTCCTCAACGAATCTTGGAGAGGAGATCTAGTGGTATCGAAATGCGATGCAAAGTTGGAATGAGGCTTTATATTGAAAAGTTTATACCTTCTGTAGGGTCTCAGCATGGTGTTCGGCATTCAACAAAGATACTCGTGTAGGCAAACTGTAAACAGAAAAAGTTTAGCTTGGCAAGAGTAACTTCTTTAATTTATCCAAAAGCGTTTGAAACTGTTCTCAATCTCCTACCGTTAGATAGGTATAGTAAAGTGCGTGAGAGTGCAACACTATAAGGCTAAATACTAAGTCCCTAAGTCCTACACTATTCCCGGGAGTACTTTCGGTTTTGGCAATGAGCCACTCGCAAGACACTTACTGACCACTTCGGCGTCTTTCGAGCAGAACCAACTGATCGGCCCGAAATATGATTGTCTGTAGTACTAGATTCCAGTAAAAATACATCAACATAAAATCAGATCGATCATGTTATGATAGACGGAAGACATGTACTGCGAGCTGAAGAGGAAAGCAAGACGCATTTGCAGGGAGGCAGAGATGCGTGATTATGAAGAGCTTGTGGCGGTGGCCGACAAGGGAAATGCTCGAACATTCTACGAAAGACTACGGTGACTTACGAAAGGTATCAAGAACGGAGAAAACTCTTTTAGGATACAGAGGGGTGATCTAGTAACGGATGCCCAGAGTCTATTGAATTTATGGAGGGAACAATTCTCCAGCCTGCTGAGTGGCATTGAAAATGGAACACTTGAAAATGTTTTACCCTGATTGGACCTTATCAGTCTGGCTTTAGCCTTGGTAATTCAACCATTGACCAGATACTCACCCTGCGCCAACTCTTGGAAAATACCTTTGAAAAGAGGATCGGCACCCACCACCACACGAATAGGAGCCGCCTTTACGCCTCTATGTCTGAATTTAGTATCCCCTCAAAACTTAAAAGGGGATGTAAACGTACGTTAAGAAACACTAACGAGTCGTTCGATACCAAACTAAGTTTCACACATCATGGCTCTTTATTGTGTGACTTTCTCAACTTATTGCTGGAAAAAGGATACGGGCTGCAGAGCTGGATAGAGAAGGTACAATCTTTTAGAAGAGTGTACAGTTGCTGGCGTACGTCGATAATGGATGGGATTACTCCATCTTTAAAAGATGAAGGGGAAAGACCCGGTATAGAAAGACCTGGCTGCACATGGTATTTCCAATCGCCGGCAAAGAGGAAGAAGAAGAAACGAATTTCGCAATATTGTTAACTTGGCTATAATCATGAAAGCGGTGTCTACGCCAGTAAAGTAAGGAAGTAAATAAAACTCTCGACTCCAACATAGAGACCGCCTCCTGAATCAGGAGGCAATCTTACACACTACGTAGGCCTTTCTCCTTCCGCGGCGAAATATCTGCTGAGCTTGACCTTCATCAGAAGAAAGCACATGGCTAGAATAAGACTCATATAATTTCACCCTTGAGATCAAATCATTCATCGAAGGGAAAAATCGAAAACTTGAACCACACCTGGAAACACCTAAAAACCTGAACATGATAAACTTTAATCGCCTTGGAACCAACGAATTACAAAAAGTATTATGCAATCACCCAACAACATCAGAATAAATTAGTTTTAACTTAAACTAAAAATTCCATTGAAATTATGTCACACAACAAGCAGAGCGTAAATTGTATTTACCAGCTCTTGTAAGAGAATAATAAAATTCCTTGAATTGATAACAAATTGAATTTAAAGCAAATAATCTTATTTGTATCAATAGGGTGTCCAATTTCCGAAAATAAACTCCAAAAAAAGAAATAAAATGGAAAAAATAGTTGCACATACGTGTACGCCAAGTTTCACTACGAGCAATGTGTCTGACAGCTACCATTTGCCACTTTCATAGGGTAGTTTTCGCTTTTTTTGCTGAAAAACATTTCAATGATACTTACAGTGTGGCACTTTAACGCAGAGTCATATATAAATATTGTTATATAAGCGCTGAAGGTGCGACTAAGTGGGCCTTCTTCAGCTGTCAAATGAAGTGAAAATTTTGTAGTTGTATTGTTGTTGAGTATATATACGTACCTATTAAACTGGTGCTGAAATGAAATTTAATTTTCATTGTTATTTTATTTGTGCACTTCGCTACATAACTTCAATGGTCATGTGGTTGAGACTCTTGTTGGCAGAATGTCCACAGGCAATGAAGTTAGTCACATACACATACAACTTAAATGTTGAACAATTAAAAGAATCGAAATAAAATAAAACAAAATTTAATAAAGTAAACAAAAGAAATAAAATAAAATTAAACAAATTTATTAAATTAATAAAAGAAAACAAAATAATATAAACAAGATGATAAAAGATGACGATGATTTAAAATGAAATAAAAAAATTATTATTATTATAAAACAAAAAAGGAAATTAAAAAAATATAATATTTTAAAGTAAAAAATTAAATACGATAAAATTAAAAAAAATTCAAAAATAAATAAATTAAACTAAAATTAAATAAAATTAATTAAATGAAATAAAAAATAAAAAAAAAAAGTAAAATACAACAAATCAAAAAAAATGAAATTAAAATTAATAAAAATCAATAAAATAAAAAAAAGGAAAATTAAATAAAAAATTTTATATAAAATTTATTTAAAATAAATTAAATAAAATACTCTTAAATTAAATAAATATAAAATGAAATTAAATTAATAAAACAAAAGTCAACAAATTAAAAAAAAAATTAAATAAAGTAAAAAAACAGCAGAAGATAAAAAAAATAAAACAAAGTAAAACGAAAAGAAATAAAATAAAACATAAAAATAGTATAAAATAAAAAAAAAATAAAAAATATTGAATAAAATATAATATAATAGAATAAAATAAAATATAACAAAAAGTTAAAAAATAGAAATAACATAAAAATCAATAAAATAAAATATTAAACGAAATAAAATAAAATAAGTTAAAAAAAAAATAAAATAAAAAATGAAGTGAAATAAAAAATTTATATTAAAAAAATTAAATTATTTTAAAGAGAATTAATTTATTTAAATTAAATAACTTAAATTAAATCAAAGAAATAAAGTGAGATCAAACAAAGTCAAATAAAATCAAATCATTTCAAATGAAAGGAAGAAAAGCCCTAATATAAAAAAATCAAATAAAATAAAATAAAATAAAATAAAATAAAATAAAATAAAATAAAATAAAATAAAA